TCTGTTGTGTTTCCCTTTTGTTGGCTTTTTGATTGGAACAAATGCTTTTCTAATCTCAGCTGGAACATTGCCTTCTTCGAGCATTTCTTCAGCTCTTCGCTTTGCTCCTCCTTGGATATTTCTCATTTCGTTTTGTCGCCTATTTGTCATTGCATTTTCCTTGCACATTTTCCCACAGGCAACACCCACACATACACACACAAACACACTCAAATACACACAGATGGAAGGACAGAGATGTCAACACCCACATCTGCTGCAGGCCATCTTCAATAGTTTTGCTCCTTGGCCAGGATAAATGCACTGGGAAAAAGCGCAAACTTTATAATTACAGCCATCATTGTTTGGTTTCAACTTTAAAAAAGAAATAAATGTTAAAATAATTTTATTTATTTAAGTTTTATTATTTAACAATAATTAATTTAGAAGATATATATGATTTCATTCCAGACAAAATACAAATATAAAATATAGTTTTATTGATTATTTTCCTATAAAAGTATATAAGTCCTACTATAATTTCAAAATGAGTTAAGAAAAACAGATAAGAAGTATGCATTATAACCCTACATATTTTGCAGTGTAAAAAAAGGGAGATGACCAAAAAAAAGATACGAAGAACATTGCATTTAATGGCCAGCTGTGTCCAGAAAATTGTTTGAGGGCGAAGGGGGATGGTCCTTGGTTCCGGAAACAAGTTAGGAAGTTGAAAAGTTTCCACGAAAAATGTTCGATTCGAAAACGGAAGTTTTGTGCCTTTTTAGCTGCAAACATATGTCCTTTCCACAATTCAAAAGGACTTAAGTGGCTGCCAGGAATGCCAAGAATCGGTCTATTGATAACCTACTGCATTTCAGTAACATCTCCCCAAACTCCAAACACCTTAAGCTGGGGGCTAGTGTAAATTAATATTTATGATTTATCTCTGGCCTGCCAAATTGAATTTTAAGTGCATGTTTCAATAAGGAATTTTGTTCCGACAAATTAATAATTGGATAACGTTGATTGATTAGATAAACGATGCAAACACAAGTTTAATTTAAATTAATCCTTGTTTGTGTAATGCACACAATGTGTGTTACATATTTCACATAATTTATTAGGCAATGACTAGATATGAAAAAAGCACAATTTTATTGAAAATAATGGCATAGTACAAACCAAACTGATTATAATGATTAGAAAACAACATTTTTCATTAATGAAAAAACCGCTTAGATTTTTCGATAAAATACAAAGTGTCTATTACCTAAATAATATTACCTGTTTTGGGCAAAACTAAGTTGCTTAAAGAAATATGATGAAAAATTTTTTAAAAACACAAGAAAAAACTCAAAAAATAAATATAATACAAGTAGTAATTGTGCTAATTATTTGATGGTGAAATGTAAAACCTAACAAAGCTTTCTTAAACACTTAAAACTAGTAAAAATATGCTGACATTTAATTTGTGGTCAAAAGTAAATTTAGCAATTATCACAACATTAATTATGGAATTATTGTGGAAGTGAAATTAGCTAATGTTATGTTTTCCTAATTTAAATTTTGGTAAAATTCAATACATTTCCAGGAGGCAGACTGCAGAAAGGAAACATAAATCGCTTACTTTACAATCACTTGGCATTCCAAAAGCCAATCCTCCTTTTCACATTCACTTAATCACCTTTCACCTGCGAACGTTTATCAATCGCTTTTATTGGGCGACAGAGTAATGTAATATCTTGTAGTCGCACACTAAAAATCAATGTTTTATGATTCCGCAGGCATTTTGCACTTAATTTTGAGGGAACTTTAAACCGAAACCCAAAAGCTAAAGCTGAATATATCAGGATGCAGGAACAAAGGTTCCGGGACAGACATTCAACTCCGGTTTTCCCACCACCTTATCCTTCTCCTTTTTCCATTCCTTTGCCTCCTCCTTTTCCCCCTTTTGCTCATTTTTGGAAAATTCCGAAATCATATCCCACACACACATATCCCAGCCATTTGGACATTTGGTAGTCTCTATAGGTCGCATTACATTTTAGTCACGTACCGACAGAAAAGTTATCGAAGATTTAAACGCACGTACATGGGGCCAAGGAAAACTCAGAAGGTGCGTTTCACTCACTTCATAATTCCCCGAAAATATTTAATAGGAGTGCTGTTTCACTTAAAAATGCTAATGCTTAAAATAAAAAATATATTTTGTCGCAAGTTTTAAATTAAGTTATTGCATTTAAAAGTTATCCGGTAATTTCCTTAAGGAAGTTCAGCAAACTTTTGAATGAATGGATTTAAAAAAGAAAGAATTTTTAGGATATTATTTAAATATATTATTATTGATTATTTAAATCTCATTTACCATGTATACATGTATACATGTATATGTAAATAGAATGAATAGCTGGTTGTATAAATAAATATGCCTATATGTGTTTCATATATTTATTAAGAGATTTTTTCATTTCTCGCCATATCTTCCCGTACCGCACCTTACAGTGAAACAGAAAGATAGGGAATGCCAGAAGCCGTCATCAAATGCCGTGAGTTATTGTAAAACGTCGAGTTCTTCAATTGCGACTCTAATGCGGACGGGAATATATCGGCGATGGGCGAAAAGTGGCAGTGGAAAAGCGGGGAAAACGGAAAACTCTCCAGACTCCCCAAACGATTTGCACGTAGTCGAAGAAAGAGAAAAAGTGCCAACTGTTTTGCTTGTCAAATTGAAATTAAAAGCCAAAATGCCTCAACTTGGCCGCTCCCAATGCTCCCAATATATATATATATATATATATATATATATATCCTTCGCCCGATCAACCAACGTTCCCTGTTCGAGTCATAGATATAACCTTTTTATAAAATCAATAAAACCAAATAAAATATATAGAGGAGTATCTGCAGTCGAGCGGCAAAGACACACTTTGAGAATTTCGAACTCAAGTGTTTGCTTTTTGGTTTGAAATTGTAATCATAAATTTAATTTAAAACCAAATTATCCATTATCTTATGAATGCAAATCTACTCGGATTGGGTTTTATACTTTATTGAAATATTATATTGTAAAAGGATTTAAATTAAACTTTCAACCCAAGTACTTTGAATCTATATAATTAACATATCTTAACTTAAAGTTAACTTAACTTAAATATTTGTTGTTTTTAAATCTAGACCTTAAAAAAAAGTATTTCAAGCTTTCATTAAATGTTTAAAAGGATCTTAGCCTTTAATGTAATAAACACTTATTATTTTTAATCCTACTTATTTATTCCTTTTTAAAGCCATTTGTACTGCCTCAAAATAGTACAAATAGTTAAGCCATAATTGTTAATTTGTGACTGATTATGGTCTAATCATTGATTGAAAGGAGGCTGATGTTTGGACTTTATTTTTGTGAGTGCATCATGTGGCAGCACGTAGTCAGTTGTGGATTCCTTGGCTTCAAGATGGGGGCAAGTCCCCGGAGTCAGACGGAGAACCAGACCGAGCCGAATGGAACCCGCTGGCGTGGTCAGCTTTTGGGGATTGTGATACTTGTGCGGTCGCGTGACCTTTGCCCTCCGTCTTCGGGCCACAAACTGGCAACTAATTCGAAAGAATGTGGCAACAACTTGAGGTGCCAGTGGGGCATCTTCCGTGTCTGGGTCAGTGGAAGTCAGTGGTCCAGTCGGCCAATTGCTCGATTCCTTCAGCCCATTCAATTCATTTAACTTTAACTTTAACTTTGCACTCCTTCCACATTTTCCACCAAATTATTATTACTCATTTTACACGATTCTTGAATATCTACTAGCCACTTCTGCTAATATTTCTTTTCATATGCTCGTTTGTAATATGTTTGTGTTTATTTATTATAAAATGTCGGTTCATTTCGAATTTATTTATTTGCTGAAATAACAAAGAAAACTAAAATTTGATTGCTTATCATTTAATGAATATTATTTTCGCTTGTTTCTTTCTCTCCAAATGTTATTCATTTTTGAGTAGCAGTGATTAGGATGTGGTTAGCCACATTTAATATTGATTAAACGAGCTACACTGAGCATATGTTTGTTTAGTTTCCTTTCGTTTTCTGTAGTTTGAAATAAAATAAAATATGAAATACATTTCTATTGAAGTCCTCTTCCCTTTACTCTGTATTCTTCACGTTAATTTGCCAGTTGCCTGCTCATTGGGCCTATTTCATTTCTGCCCCTTGCTCACTTGGTCACTCGTTCATTCATTGATGATTTAAGTGCCGTTTCGACTTTCGGCAATCCTGCGGGATCCTGTAGCCCCCGTATCCTTCCAATTCCCCCAGTGAAATGCACCCCGCGGCCTGCGAAGCCAGTTTGGCAATTATTCATGCAGCCTAAACACAAAACAGAAGCTGCCTATGTGTGTGTGTGTGAGCGTGAGGTAGTGTGTGTGTGTGAGGGAGTCCATGTGGGTGCAATTAAACGAAACTGTCTGTCCGTCCATCTGGCATCCTCATCTCATCTCCGTTTCCGCCATCTCACACAAAGAAAAAAAACGTCCTACTTGTTTCAATATGTGCAAATATAATACTCTTCAATTAAGCTAATTTTTAAATATTAACTAAAATATATAGATATAAAAATCCTGAGAAGAACAGTTGCACAGCATTTAAGCTTCGTATTTCAACTTTTAAAATGTTTGTTGGGTTAATCATTTAGATTAGCTCATATTTGAATATATTTCTTTTAACAATGGCTTAATATTAAATTCGCCTTCAACAAAAAATGCAAAAAGATATCATTGCGGCGCATTTTTGCTTAAAAATGACTAACTTTATCACAATAAAGTGCAACAACCGCACTGTAATCACTGTTTTCAACGAGCAATGTTTTTAAAATTGGTTAATATTTTAAGACAAAGACAAATTTTGTCAAACCACAAAAACATGCGATTACAGATTAAATTTGAATATAAATGCACATAAATTTCGCATAATTTAAATGCTTATAAACTTCTTGAACAAAAAGAGTCATTTTAGTTCGCTTTGAGCGGTTAAAGAAATGTTTCAGTTTGTAACCTATTTTTTGGGTGCCTTGGTGGCCCTTAATTTGCATGAATCAATGGTTGATTGCCAGGATAATCGCCGATCCGTGTGTCTACTGGACGATCCTCCAAGGCAGTGTGGCCAATTTTGTCTCACCAAACTGCATCCGATAATCGATATGGTTCCTGGAATCGAGAGAAAGTTGGATCGGATTGAGGAGCAGAATACAGAGGCCCAGGAATCCAAAAAGGACCTCGAGTCGAGGCTGCAGGACCTCCACACCCAGCTGGATACCCAACTTCAGGCGGTACAGACCAGTCTACAAACGCTCCTCAACAGAACCGCTCAGAAAGCACTTTCCAAAATTCCACCGCCGAAATTCGAGCTAATCGGTTCGCGATTCTTTTATATAGAAACCAATAATATTAAAACTTGGAACGAGGCTGCAGCCGCCTGTCGCCAAATAGGCGGTTATTTGGCGTCGATCCAAAATGAATCGGAACTTGAGGCCATCGCAGCAAAACTGAATCCCGATTCTTATTACTGGCTTGGCATCCATGATCGGGGCAAAAGTGGCGACTTCCAATCATTGGCCTCCGGAAAGACAGCTAAATTTTTAAAGTGGCATACCGGATATCCCAAAAACTTGGAACAGAAATTGAATTGCGTTTGGCTTTCCAACGGAGAAATGCATGATTTCTTTTGCAACTCTAAATCTTATTTCATTTGCCAGGCAGACAAGGAAATTTAGATACAAATCAAGACAAAACAATATATGTATATAATCATTTTTGAACATTAAATAAAGACTTACAACGTTTTTTAAATAATATATATTAATTTTATTTATATAAATATATTTCAGTTAATGTATATAAAATTATTAATATCTATTATGTTTTCAAATGATTTTGAAAATGGTCCATTGCATTTGGTTTGGAGACATATTTTTAAAGTTATTGTAAATCAAAATAATTGTAGTAAAACTATATTTTTAAAATTTCATCAAAAATGAATTTTTATTTTTCAATTTTAAGGATCTTTTATAGTGTTAAAATAGCAATTGTTTGTGCCCTTGTCTTGCCAAATATAAATTAAATTTTGGTTTTATTTTCAAAATAAAAATGTATGTAAAACTTCGAAAACACAAATGGCAGCTTTGGCAATTGTTTTCAGTGCAATGTGTGTCGCCTTGCGTTTCTGTTGTTTAGCTGCGTTCGCGCAATTTTCCCATTTCCCGTTCGCTTATTAATGAATTTTCCAATAATTTCTGTTGCTGGATGGAATGGAGTCCGGGGAATCGGGATTTGGGGAATGAAAGGGGGGCGAGGACACCACGTCCATGTGCTGCTGGCATTTTGGTCGCACTTGGACTCATTGTTCGGGCCTTGGCCACTAAATCATTTTATTTCGACGGCAGACAGATGGTGAGCATAAGGCAAAACGCAGAAGAATCTTTCACTGCTTTCGGGTTGAAAAGACGGCTTCCATATGCTACATTGCTATTTGTTTCCATTTTCGATCATTAATGCAAGGAAACATTTATCTAAACTCAGATGGAAAATTCTAAGGCGAAGAAATCATAGTTTATTATTCACTTAGTTACTAATACAAATCAAAAAGAATGCCCTAAAAATAATAATATTGCACCTTATCTGCCAATTGTTACTGAATGTTAGCTTAAGGTAAAATATAACCTGGAGATTCTGAAATATATGTGGTTAAAAATAAACTTAATATCCAATATGTAATAAATGTTCTGTTAAATATAATAAATAGGGCTTTCTTGAACTAAGATGGGATTCTGTATCCCGCCTAAGTGTATTTCTGGGTCGGGGCCGATACCCATTATCCATTATCCATCTTAAATGTAGCTCCAACTCAATCAGCGACCAACAACAGCTCGAGGCTATGTGTACGTTTTTCTTCTTTTCCCGCTTTTCCGACTCCCTTTTTCCACATTTTCCGGACCTGCCAGGCGCAGCGTCTCGGCAACTTTCAATTGTTTGGGGAATTCGAAGTGAACGTTTTTCGCCATTAGTTAAAGTTGAGGTCTATTATTGGCTGAAGAACAGGCACACACAGAAAAATAAATAATAAATAGCTTTAAATAAACTCGAAGAAAATACTCATTTAGTGCTTACATTGTTTTAAAAGTTTGCACAAAAGAAACTTTTGTGGGTCAGATATAGAATTAAAAATTCTTATAAACACATATATATAAAATAAAAATGTAATTAATTGGTTTTAAAAATATAGGGGAATTTATGTTATGTATCAAGCTTTTTGGTAATGCATAAAACCTATATATTTGCCAATATTTTCTGTGTAACAAATGTAAGAAAAGAGGTGAAATGAGGGGAATCCCCACTTGAGTTCCCGGTTGTGTGTTAACGTTAATGCTATTAAATGTTAACTCTGGGTCGGTAATGTATGTTTGATAAGTTAATTTTCGCCGTTAGCATGGAGGAAAACCGAGGGGAAAGCCGGGAACCCAGCCAGCTTATCATTAAAGGCATTGGAAACGATTCCTTGGCCGGCGCACACAGCCAAAAGGACTCCCCAAAGGACTCCCAAAAGGACTCAACAAAGCCATTAAAGCGCTTTTGTTCGGATGGTAGAAAATGGGGAAAAACTGGGGGCATTCAAAGTTACAAAGACTCAACCTTCGCCCCTCTGACCTCCAAAAAAATAACCCCCATCCAGTCACTCATCGTCATTGATCCAATCATTCATTTTCTGTAAGGGGTCGAAGGGCAGGACATTTTGATTGCCCAGTAAGTGGGAAAAGGATGGGAAAATCACCCGACAGACAAAGGCTGACAGTCAGTCATCCATCCATTCAATACAGTGGGCTGCCCTCATTCAAACAGCATTTAAAAACGAGTTTTGAATATATTTTCGAGCTTACGTAATTGGAATATTTATAAAATGTTGTATATCTGATTTATTCAAATCTCATTGAGATATATGATGTAAGAGTTTAAATTTGTATCTCTGTTCGTTTTATATTATTCAAATTTGTATCAATTAAGTTAACAATTTTGGATAGAATGTAGCATACATAATGTGATTTTTCAAATGAATAACAACAAATGAACAACTCATCGTACAAAAATAAATATAATGCCAACATGTTGTAATTTTAAAAATAAATCAAAAATATGTGCTGTACTTATGTGGTTATTCTTATTCACTTTGTTTTTCTGTAGAAACATTTAAGAAAATATATTTAGTCGGAAGCATTAGGGAAATTTCATTTTTAAACCTGAAATGATGCCAATGTGCCAGTGTCTATTTGAAGTCTATAGATGATTTGTTTTATTTTTATTTGATTTACTTAAGAAATCGAACGCTTTACGATTTTGATTTGCGCTCGTTGTGTTTGCTTATGAAAGTGCTACTTACGGCGCAACAATGGATGCCACGTCGGTGGCACATCCGCCCCCGAATAACCGCAGTCCTGCTGCAGTTGGCGTCGTGGAACCCACTCCAATATGCCAACACCAGGACGAGGAAGGACCAGGAACAGAAGCAGGACCAGGACCAGGACCAATATCCATTCCCCCCGCCAAATCCCAAGTGGCTGGTGTCGTTGCTCGCTTCGCTTCTGTTTGGCTTCGGTTTGGTTATGGCTTGGCTTTTGGCTGATTACACTGCCCGAAAAATCGCTCTTATTGGGGCATCTTTATACCCGTTACTCGTAGAGTAAAAGGGTATATTGTATTCGTGCAAAAGTATGTAACAGCTAGAAGGAAGCGTTTCCGACCCTATAAAGTATATATATTCTTGATCAGGATCACTAGCCGAGTCGATCTAGCCATGTCCGTCTGTCCGTCTGTCTGTCCGTCTGTCCGTCTGTCCGTCTGTCCGTCTGTCTGTCCGTATGAACGCTGAGATCTCGGAAACTATAAAAGCTAGAAGATTGAAATTTTGCATGTAGATTTTAGAAGTTCCTACGCAGCGCAAGTTTGTTTCAAAATGGTGCCACGCCCCCTTTAACGCCCACAATCGCTTATATACTATTTTAAAAATTTAGTTTAGCAGTTTTATTGTGTTTATCAATACCTATCGAAATGTAGAAGAAATTTTTCAAATCGGACCATTCGTTAAAATGTTATGCGTGATCAAAGTTTCTATCTCCATCTCCCTCGCACTCCCTTTACCTGAGTAACGGGTATCTTATAGTCGGGGCACCCGACTATAACGTTCTCTCTTGTTTTTATTTTATTTTTATCTTAAAAGATATGTGTTTCCAATGTCTGTTAACTTTGTTTTTACAATATCTCTCTAAGTCGGCCAAAAATAGTTGAATACAAAGTAAAAGTGCCTTCTATGTTATTCTATCTCAAAACATTAATTCTATTCTATCTTAAAAAACAAAGATCGTAACTAATTCTTTTTTTTAATACTCAATGCAGTATCATTGGATTCTCATAAAAACTGTGACTCAATTTAGGTTCACATATTTTCTTTAGGTAATTTACTTGTTTTTTGAATTAAGAATAAAGTATATACATTTGTTGTTTATACAACAATTTTTAAACAAATTAATCCTTTTGTTTTGGCTTGTATAACAAACATATTTCTTGTACTTATGTTAATATATTTTTATTGATCCATAATCATCTGGTTTAGGGTTAAAGTTTCTTCTTGATTAACCAATATGTAATTGTTGCTTATGACTCATGCATTTCTCGTTGGCCTTAAATGTTACATTTTGTGGACAGTGTATGGCTTTCGTTTGGTAGCTGGCTTGGCTTGTTATCCTTTCTGCGCGAGGACTCGCTGGTAATCAATGAAATTACTTTTTAGTTCAAGGCGAGCCAATAGTGTTGCAAAATGAAATTATTGAGTGTGGGACGGAGGAGGTCCTGGCGCTTTTTTCCGGAGCTTGCTAATGAAGTGTTGCCAAGATTGGAGGGCGGGATCGGGCGTGAGATATTGGCGGGACATGGCAGCTCACATTTTTCAGTTATTTCAGTTGCAGCTCCTCTTTTTCCGGTTGGCTTGGGTGTTGCATACATTTGCGCTTAATGGCTTTGGGGAATTCCGATGACGTTTATAGTCGACGGCAGCCGGAGCTCCGGCTCCTTGGATCCTCGGGGAAATTTGCTTTTGAAAGTTTTCCACCCCCTCCTCCCGCTTTCCCACTCCCCTTTCCCCTTTCTCCGTCCCACTTTTCCTCCTTCGCAAAACACTTAAAGCTCGGCTCAGAATAAATGGCAAAGAAATGGCCCGGACATAAAGTAAGGCACAATCTCTGCCCGGACAATAACTCCTTGATGGTCAATGATTTGCTGATGGATGATCTTCATTTCATCCTCGGCCTGGATGGCACAAAACCAGAGCGGAGATTGTCAACTTGTCCAGATGAATGAGGGACAGCCGGCAAAAATGGAATAAATCACGACAGAAGATGTGTTCAGTTTCCTTAAATGCTAAAGTCGTTTAGGAAAACTATAAAATAACATTTTTATACCCTTCAAGAGGCTGTTATAATTGAAGTCAAAAGTGTATGTCCGTTTCTACGAAACGGGCCGCATCGGCTTAATAATATAAGAATAATAATATATTCCGTGATATAGATTTTTTTTAATTTCATGTATACAGTTTTAGTTTAATAAACATTTAGTGATTAAATCATAAAGCTGCCACAGAAACGATCGAAAAAGTTATGGAAAATCGCACTTCTATGCTCATATCTATTTTATCTGAAGTCCGATTCTAAAATGGTATGTCTTAAATAGCTCGTGGTTAAATTCCCTAAAAATCTGCATTCAAACATTTTATTGTATTTTTGGGTCGATTTTTCGTCATTTCTTTAAGGGGTTACCCTTCCCAAATGCTCGAAAAATGGGTTAGCAAAAAAGGGACCAAAAACCTGCACTTCTAAGCACATAACTTTTCGTACAGACATCCGATTTCAAAATGGCACATATCTAAATGATCGTGGTTTAATTCTCTAAAAAATTGTATTTTCAGTTTAGTTTTTATTTTTTGGTCGATTTTTCGTCATTTCTATTAGGGGTTACCCTTTCCAAATTTTTGAAAAATGGCTTTGCAGAAAAGTGCCAAAAAACTAGGCTTCTAAGCTCATAACTTTTCGTACAGATATCCGATTTCAAAGTGGCATATCTCTAAATGATTGTAGTTTAATTCTCTAAAAAACTGTGTTTTCAGTTTAGTTTATTTTTTGGTCGATTTTTTGTCATTTCTTTAAGGCGTTACCCTTTTCAAATTCTCGAAAAATGGCTTTGCAGAGAAGTGACCAAAAACATGCACTTTAAAGGCCATAACTTTTCTCACTGCGATCTGATTTCGAAGTTTTGTACTTCAAAGAATGGTTTAATCCCTTAATGTATAAATAAAAATGTATTTGCTTATTTCTGTAGTTTGACCAGATTTGGCTGTTAAGACCTGATTAAATGCTTAAACTTTTTGTATTTGTTTATAATAATATTACTATGCAAAATTTTTGTTAGCGCGTATATATGTTTTTTTTCTACGGCAGGAGTTATTTGCTTATTATATCCTTGCTAAGGGTATTATAATTTCAGTCAAAAGTTTGCAACGCAGTGAAGGAGACATTTCCGACCCTATAAAGTATATATATTCTTGATCAGCATCACCAGGATTTAGCCATGTCCGTCTGTCCGTCCGTCAGTTTCTACGCAAACTAGTCCCTCAGTTTTTAAGCTATTTGCTTGAAACTTTCCCAAAAGTTGTCTTTCTGTTGCAGGTAGTATATAAGTCGGAACGAGCCAGATCGGGCGAATATATCATATAGCTTCAATAGAAACAATCGGAAAAAAATTCAACAAAATTATAACTTTGTTGTTTTTTTTTGTTCTTTGGGATTTTAAATAATTAAATTAAAATCGGACAACAATATCATAAAGCTGCCATAGAAACGATGGCAAAATGCAGCCCAAAATCGACATATTTCATTGTTTTTGGCAATATAGGCATATAAATCGAAATGTGGTCGATTTGTAATAACTGCAAGGGTATATTTATTAATTTATTTTTGATCAGAGAATAACTGCACTTGTATTGTATAAGGTATAAGGTCGCAAATGTATGGCATTACAAACTTGTGACCTAAACTATAAAATCCCATCGGTATAAAAAGCGAAAGCTTGTCGCACTCGTTTCGTACTTATGTATTTATTTATAGCTATCTGCTAATCTCGAACCGCAGAATGATCTTCAGACGCTACTGAAAGTGCTTATCTGTGGGCAACTATGTTTGTGGAGACTGTCTTCCGGTATTTGAATCGATTTCGGGAATCACATTCAACACCAGAGCAGAAGTGCAATCGTTGCCTTGACTTTGCCCTTTGGGTAGCAACCACCTCCAATACGCGGACCCAGAAATAATAGGCTCTTCAGGCTGAAAAGTAACCTTATCCAGAACTCCCTTACATACCCATTAAAATGACTTAACATAAACTTATAAATATGCAAGTTAATAACAATGGCAGACGGCATCCGAACGAAAAGTTAAGCGGAAACTTGCACGGTCCCCTCGTTTATATAGGGAGTGCAGTTGAGTGAAGGTTTTCCGGGGTCTGGATTCGGGATTCCGGATTCAGGACACAAATTAAGCGAAGTCTACAAAAAGTTTACCGGAGAGGGTTGGTATTTATCCATATTTGTGTTACTAAAATACCCAGATCAGTTGTAAAATAATCTCAATCACTTCCATTTATTAATCTCCCATTTCACCAACTGAATACAAATGAATACCACACACCATTAAATATAGATTTATTAGTTTGTATTAATAATCAAATATTTGATACTTAAACAGTGCGACTCATTAGGACTTGGGCCTTATCATCATTTCGGTGAACGTTAGTGATATCTGCCAGTCGTGGTTATGCCATGAGCCCCAATGAATTCCGTAACCTTTGCCTTCTTTCGAGTATTTTCCATTGAGCGAACTGTAATTTAAAGTGATTATAGTAGGAAGATTTAAGCAGAGCATAAATAAACAGGTATACCTAAATCCACATTTATCGTACCACCATGCACCATAAGCAGCGGCACAATTTCGTTTATCTAAATCATTATCCCGATCAAATGTGGTGAACTTTTGGTTCTTATTGTATGTGAGTGAGTCTCCGGCTTCACCAGAATATTTCCCTAGATTCTTCAACTCGTACAATTCCTTCTCACTCCCAATCATAAAGTCATCATAGTGAGCGTAACTGGTGGATCCATTAACCTTCCCAAGTTTGATGTAGAGTTCGTGGGGTCGTGCCTCAGTCATCCGATGCAATTTTTCCAGCCCGATGAAAAATTCTCCCCTGACATTCCCAAATCCATATTTATAATCATTCCAGTTTCGATGGAAGTTCTCGGATCCGTCAATGCGTCTCTGAATTACAGTCCAACCAAAAGGAAACGACGCACATGACACCTTAAATGGTTCCATCTCCCTGAGTTTTATTCGGTATTCCGAAAGCTGACTAGATAGTTCTGATTTTGTTTTCTCAATCGCTTTAATTTGAGTCGTAAGGGTCAAGATATGTTCATCTCTATTTTTAAGGTGCCCCTCTTTCACCTTTAAAATATCTTCTTTGCTTTTGGTTTGACCTTCGGATATTTTTAACTTACTCTTCAAGTTTTTTATGGTGTCTTGTAGGGTATTTACTCGTCTTTTGAGTTTATCGTTGTCATCAGCAGTTGTTTTCATCTGTACAAAATGATTTAGAACAGGAGTTAAAATAATAATCATGGCATTTGTTTTTAATATTCTAATTAGTTGGTTCCTGCGGTAAATCTTAATTGAGGTTAGCCCAGAAAGTGGATGTTTTATCAAATAAATCACTTTCAAATACACCGATAACTGGCAGCGTCAATTCGAAACTAAAATTATTGAAAGGAATGAAATTTGAATATTTCCTAATAGAGCTCTAGACAAAGCATAATTGCAATGCAGTATTATTTATTGGGCTAAAAAAAACTCGTACTTTTGTGCTTTCTTCACATGCGATTTACATATAAATTGGAACAAACACTTCCGATAAGAACGCGAAAGGATGTCTATATATCCGTAACTCACCGACTTAAGTTGTTCCTCGGTTCTGTCCAATCTCGTATCCAGTTTGGTCTGCAGAGCCTGAATTGAATTCGCGAAGTCTTCTTTTGTGATGATTTTGCTCACTTGTTCCTGAAGTTGGTTCTTTATTTCGGATTTCACAGCCATATGTTGTTCTTCCGCCAGCTTGAATCTCGAATCGAGTCCTGCCTCGATTTCTTCCAACCTTTTTCGGATATTATCAGAATCGTCTAATAGCGGGTTGAGTGTGGCCAGGCAAAAGGAGCCACACTGTTGAGGTGCATCTTGGAGAACGCACAACGACTCATCCTTTGAATGGAATCCAATTCCTCCTTGTACACTTGGAAAAATTAATAAGCCAAGCAAATAGGATAATAGTCTCAGCATCTTAAGATGTTCCATCTACTCAAATCGAATTTAAAAAGTGAACTGAAATGTAGCTATAAGTTGAAGAAGCAACGAAGCCTAAAATATTGCTGATAAGCCCCGTGAACGTTCATATTCCGGATGTATGGCACATGGCCTTCCTAATCACTTATCCGTTGTCCAAAAATCGGAAGAAACCAGATCGCCTAATATGTATAGCATATAAATAGAAATGAGCTTATTTTCTTATCGCTTACTTGCGCTTTATTTATTTTTAAATCACCAAAAAACAGCGGGAAAGTTGCAAAGTTCATATTTTTAAAAACTTTGCCAAAACAAGACACACAGTCAAAAGAATGAATGTTTTGAGCAGCTGAGAACCTATACCATCAATTCCCAAATTCCCAAAACAAAATTTTTTAGCTGAGAATTCAAATGGATTGGAAATTTTGTTACGAATTCAACGAGCTATGATATTCCAAGATCAAGATAATTATTTCTAGGATTGGATTAAAAAACCGAAAATCGAGTAGCTTTTTTCCATATTTCGGTCATCAAAAACATATTTTTATATCCTTGCAGAGGGTATTATAATTTTGGTCTAAAGTGTGCGACGCAGTAGAGCAGATATTTCCGACCCTATAAAGTATATATATTCTTGATCAGGATCGTCTCCTGAGTTGATATAAGCATGTCCGTCTGTCTGTTTCTACGCAAACTAGTCTCTCAGTTTTAAAGATATTCTTTGCACGCAGTATATAAGTCGGAACGGTTGGGATCGGCCGACTATATTCTATAGCCGCCATATAACTGATTGATCGGAAATGCGATAACTTTGGTGTTTGTAAAGTTAGGAAGTTGGGATTTTTAATGAGTATTAAGACTGCATCATATTAATAATTTTGGAGAATATCAACTTCGGCTCCGCCCGAAGTTAGCTTTCCTTTCTTGTTTTCGTTATTTCTGGAAAAAATCACTCATACGTACTGTGGTCTTAATTGTGGTTCTTGTAAACCTTACATCTATTTCCCGTTTGGAGCGACTTTAATTGCGTTTCTTTGTCTAGAATGGGTTTTCGTTCCTTCCCATGGACCTTTATTGATATATCTGCGCGCCATCACTCATACGCACTGTGGAACGTGGCCATAATTACTGCGCTCCTTCGGTCGCTCACTGTACTGAAAACCGTGCTGCCTGTCCGGATGATTGACTCCGGCCGCGGGGATTTCCGTGGGCGGAAGGATGCAGGCGACTGGGGCGACAGGATGCTGGCTGACGGAGGAGGGCAGTCAAGGGTTAAGCGGGTCACAGCCGGTTGACAGTTGCAATTAATGCGGCAATTGCAGTTGAGTTTTTGTGCCAAAGATGATGCAGCATTACCAAGAGGGGGAGTGGGGGTGGGAGTGGCTCCATGTCCATGATGGTTATTCCCAGTTTACAGCTCCTCCTGCTAATTGGCATGCATCAATGCATCGATGACGTTTATTAGCAGTGCTCAGACACACTCGAGGGCGGTGGGATGGCACTCTCTGATGACGTTATTGTGTGCGCAGTGCGGCAAATTAAGTTAATTTGATTTAATGGGCAACTCGAGCCCGGCTGACGGATAATAATAGCGATCTGGGGTTCCACGGTGAGTGGGTGAGTGGGTGAGGGGTGTGTCCTGGAGTGGGGGAGCCGAGCCCTTCAATTGCCCCGCCATGCAGCTCAATTAAAACGTGGCCTAATTGACGACGACTTCTATTTCGAGAGCCACGGCATTCCATCCCTCTTGTCATCGAGTATCCTTTAATTCACATTCCCTCTTCATATTAAATCATACAACATTTTTGAACACTTCCCTTGTAGACACCTAAATTGAGAGATAATACTTGCGGATATATCTCTGTTTTTTTAACATATTGTTTACTTTATGCATTTTCATTTCATAATTATCTACCCTTAGTTTCTACATTCTTAGAATATTTTTTAATTTAAATTTGACAGTGTTAATTTTATCTGTGGAATAAGAATTAGCTAAAAATGTGTTCAAGAATTAGCATTTGTCTGCTATCAGTTATCCACCGGAATTTGTAACTTAGTTATGCTTTTGTTATGTTTTTCAAGCTTGTTTCAGTTTTGTTTTCATTTTGCAATGTTTTCAATGTTTTACTCAGTTAAAAACCATTAGATTTCTTTTGGGACTCAAATGTGTTTGCAAAGCTTGCATTTTTCTCGATAGAAAGATATATTTATTTCAAAGTAATAAGTGTTTTCTGTAGCCATTTATGCGTGTTCTGGGCACGTCGAAAAACGCCATCAATTCTGGTGTGACACGAGGATGAGGATGTGGACGAGGTCTTCATTAGCCCGCGAGATGTAAGCGCTGGTTCAGGTTTCGCCCCCTTTCGGGGTTATGTAGATATTCTTTGGGCACTGATTTAGCTGCTGTCGTTTCTTGTAACACTCGTTGTCGTCATCGGGTCGAGTGGCAGCATTTAATGAGGTGCAAATGAGCTTGTCCCGGCATCAGCATCGCACCGTGGAGCCCAAGGAGCCAGAGTCGCCCACTTTAGAAAGAAATTAGCTGTCAGGAGTAGGCCAAGTGGCAGAGGATCCAAGGAGCACCTGGCTCAAGAGTACACTGAAACTGCCCTGGACTTGTAGCATTTCGAATTCTTTGAATATGAAACAAATTGGATTTTTTAATTTTTCTTATAATTTTTATTTGTCTATTACACAGTTTTTTCTGATTTTTTTTTATATAGTTATAGGTGTTCAAAGTTTATACTTAACAAATAACATTGCATTATAAGAAATTGGTTTGCTTAAGTAATGTTTAAAATGTTGTATTTAAGAAAAAAGAAGTATTTTATTACTTGGTTAATAGTTGTCTTTAAAATTGTAAAATTACTTGATTTAAGATATCTTTTTAAGCGAAATTTGTTGTAAATATTTTATTTATTTTTTTCCAGTGCTTCTGGTATCAAGATGAGTGGCAAATGTTGTTGCTAATTTCTCCCACTTGCTCTGCTCTTGTTTTTTTGTTTTTCTTTAACTGTCTGTCTGTCTGTGCGTCTCAGAAATTTTACATATTTTCTATGAAAATTACCATAGACACATGGCCGCCGACCCGCCCCCTTCCCCCGCCCATACTGCCACATACTGGGCACGTAGTCGTGGGTGCACCCACTTAACATGATAAGCGACAAGACACCTAACATGTTCAACACGACACCTCCACGACAGCGACTGCGGAGCACCCGAGATGCCGGGATTCTTGATTTGATGGGTGAAGTTTACCACGATTTTAGGTATACAAAAATAATAACAACTGCTGAAAGCTTTGCTAGCTTCACCAGAAAAAATAAGAATAAGAATTTATGATCTCTTCAAATTAAGTGTCCAAAAATAAGAAGTTATTGCCCAAAAAGCAATATTTTAAAAATTGTCTGGCACATTTAAAGAATTACAACAAGGAGCAATATTTGTAATATTTAATATTGAAAGAAAATTAATTAAAGTCATTTTAAATAATACATACAATAATTTATAATTCTTTTAACCAAATATATTATCAATTAATAACATGAACCCTTCAATGACAGTTGAAAACTATTTATATTTTAAGTATAATAAAAAATGAAATGCAGGCATTTAAAATGTGATTCTTAAGTGACAGCTTTCTGACAAGTCTTTTTACGTGGAAAAAATCCAGGTTGTCTCAGAGGGAAATTTGAGATTGGCGGCGGGGGAGGAGGGAGAGGGGGCTCCTTGGGTGGTTTTGTAGGGGTTTTGCGGGTGGCTGTCACATGCAAAAGGTGTCCTGGCAGCCGAGTGAGGACTGGATCGTCCTTGCCGCCCGTCCTTTTGGCTGCTTTCAGCTGTTCCTGCCGCTGACTTGCGGCTTCTCCGTCTGCGGCAGGACTTCTGCGGAACGAGCCCGCCCACATGTCATATTAAGCCAGTGTCCTGGCGAACGTGTGCGGCATAAGTTGCCACAGCATTTACACTCGACCCCACTCGACCCCCCGCCCCTTGCCCCTTGCCGCAACTGCAATTATCTATTTGCGACAAACATTTGCAAACAACTTTTTCCTTTGACTAATTAGCGCGCTTAGTGTTTTTCCCACACTTTTCCCACAATTTCTTAACGCTTAATGGTTGTTTTTAAGCGAATTGAATTTGCTGCCCAGAAATAACTGAAGTGAGTACTAAGTGGATTAAAATAAAACCGAAACTACATAGACGCACAAGGGTCACCATGGACACATAAAGATATTTCTATGATTGTTTCTTAATTAACATTATATTATCTTATTTTATTTTCATTTAATACAATTAACTTGACTTGATTTATTCTTCACTTTTTACATTCCAAACATTACAACTTGGTGTTTGTAAGATTTAAATGTGAATTGTATATAAAATAAGTAGAGTTTTATTGCTGGCTTAATTTATAGTTTTTAATTTAATTAATTAATTACATGTTATTATTTATATCTCCTTTCAAAGAAATTCAATTTCATAGGAAAAAAAAACCCTTTCTCTCCAAAAGATAATTTTGCAATATGGCAGAGCTTTGTTAGCCACGAAAAGGAAAACATTTGAATTGTTTCTATTAAAATATTACACATACGCCCCATTGCCGCATTGAAATCCAACAAATTTCGGCCATCTGTGCGTTTTAATAGGCAAACACTAAATAAAATGCAAAGACACACAATTTTGTGGGCCTGCAAGACAGTTTTCTAATTATTTTTCACAATGGAAATTTTCCTCGACTCGTCTTTTTTTCCACATTTTTTTTTGGGTGTTGGTAAGTGTATGGGCAGCTCCATAAATTGTCAAACCACAATGTGGGCGGTGCAGTGGATAACGCAAACCAAACCACAAAACGATTGAATGCAACCGCGTAACGTTTTGCCACTTTTTACACTTGTCTACAGTATTTTAAATATACTTTTGCGGTCAATCGGAGGGAGGAAAACAAGAGCAATAAAAATGCGACAACAACAAAAATTAATCTAAACTATAAACGAACACATTATACCCAC